TGATGGAAATCCACCCCAAAACCACGAATGATCTCCCCCAGCGGCTTTACATAAATATTGAACAGAAGGGGAGAGAGGACCGACCCCTGCGGCACCCCACAAGTTAGGGGCCTAGGAGTCGACCTCTGTCCCCCTGCCAATACAGACTGCGTACGGTCGGTGAGGAAGGAGGAGAACCACCGCATAACGGTGCCTCCCAGGCCCCTCTCCAGATGCACGTTCAGAGGAGGAGGGTGAGTTTGAGTAGGCAGAGGAAAGCCAGAGCTGAGTGTTGGTCAGGATCGGGGCTCGGAGAGTGCTAGCTTGACAGAGCAGCCTCAGATGAGTTATAGGCTGTGGTGGAGGTGAGCCATAGATGCAGCAAATTGGCCAGGAGGTGCAGGAGAGAACCAGGAGCAGCTGCTGCCCATTAGCAATGAGGAGAAGGTGGAGTCCAAACCTCCTCCTGATCCAAGGACATGTAGAGCAGAGAGGAGACAGGCACAATGCCGGTCAGCTAGACTACTTGCAAGGAAGCAAACTCACCTCTCATGCCTACGTAATCCCGCCCTGAGGACTTTGAGGTTGCTGGAGCAACAAGCCCAGTTCTGTGCCTTGTGTGCTTATGCTGTGTATCCTGACTTGTGGACTACTTTCCTGGACTTTGTATGTGCCTATTGGACTCTGTTACCCAATGACTCTTGCTGTGCTAAGCTTGGAATCCAGACCTGTGCAACAGTGTGCTTTCGGAAGATCTGTTTGGGGAGTTTGAATAAACACCTGCAGACTCTTGCTGTACGTGCATGTGTGTGATAGGAGTGGGGCAGCACATCTGGAAACCGTAGATGGTCCAGAATGCAACAGTGTGGATAGTTCTGGGCATATCTCAGTACAGTATGCCTGTGTTACAGCAGTGCTTTAGAAGCTGCATTTGTTCTCAAAAGCATCTGGATGCAATTTAAGGTGTAGGTAGTTACCTATAAAACTCTATATGGTGCATGGATAGGCTATTTGGGGGAGCATCTGTCCCCAAATATATCTGGCCACCCCACCAGATCCAACAGAATGAGCATGTTTGGGGTCTTTGAGGATGATGCTCAGATGAAACAGTGCCATGTAGTAGGACCCCAAAAGCATATTTTCTCTGCCCTATGGAACAGCACATTTCCTGAGATCTGAAAGGTTGCAATCATATTAGTCTTCTAAAAAGACCTGGTTTTTCTCTCAGGCATTAGGGCCGGGTTGTCAGTGAAGTCCAACATGTATTGGGTGTTGATTAGAAAGTAATCTTTTAGGAGCTTCGACTATATTATAAAGTTGTTTTTATGATGTTCTAGGTTCTTATTTTTATTAGATGGTGAACTACCTAACGACACAAAGTTGAGATGGGCAGCTGTATAAATTCTCTGAATAAATATTGAACGAAGTCATGTTGAAGGTTTTAAAATATTAATTTGTTTTCTACTCCATCACAGATTACGCAGAATGTAATCAAGACAAAATAGATGTGAGCATGAGGCAGAGCAGGACAAGCTCACTTAGCTTTCCAAGCATGTAACCATACCTGTCATTACATTCTTCAAGTCTTGGCATTAAATACCTGATTGGATCAAAAATTATTATCCTTAATTTTATGGCGAGACATCACCTAATGCTATAAAAAAAGAACCCACATTTTAGATGTGGCAAAGTGCGTAATTGTAGTCTACAAATAATTTCCAAATTATTGGAACTTAGTATGAGGGGCACATGGCATGGATTTTGTAACTTGCTAACTAACATAGTTACTTTGTATTTTAATTTGCTTTATTTTCTCTCTTTTAAAATGATGTTCAGGTTTATTAGCTTTTAACATTCCTAAATCGATAAACAGGCTGGAGGCTAGCTCCAGATAAGAAAAAGGTTGTTAGTACAAATTGGGGTCTGGTTTATGTCTTTTGTGAACTCCAAACAACAATTTAAGCCCCTTCTGATGTCAGACCTCATTTTAATGAACATGTGTAATATTATGGGATGCAAATATGTAACATATTTGACTAAGTAACTGACTTCCTATGCAAAGGGAAAGTTATTTTTATCCTGTCCAATCAACTTTCCTCTTCCATTTTCTTTGTTATGTTAACTATAAAAAGAAATGTAACATAGGGCTCAAGGTTCTCTCTCTCTTTTTTCATAGAGAGATCCCACTATATCAGGGTACCCTAATAAACTGCTTTTAAATGATCTTCTGACTCAGTTGTTTATTGGGAAGGTAAACTGAGGCATGCTCATTTTTTTCAATATGAATTTTGTTTACACTGATGCTAACTCCCAAAGTTTATTCTGTTACTCCTCTGTTAAGAAACATAAAGTATCCTAGTGGTAGTTATCAAATAACACTAACTCAGTATACTTCGTAGGAATATAAGATTTGGTTATACTTAATAGGAAAACAATGTATAGCAAAAATAAACTTGTGTCTATAATTTGTTTTATCTAAAAATGAATCATCTTCCAAAATGGCTGTGCTTTGTGACATGGTCAGTAGACTCAGAATTATTCAAACTTAAAGTTGCATTTTGTCAGCCCTTTGAGATTAGCCGGAACAGGAAAAAGACCCACAAGCACTACTAGAATTCTACTTTATGGATATAGAACAGACATGTCAAACTCGTGACGTCACGTGACGTTGCGCGACGTATTGGGACTTTTTCCCCATTGCCGGCAATGGGGTGGGCATGGTTTCCTTGTGACGCATCCGGCCCATGGGCTGGCAGTTGGACACCCCTGATATAGAGTATATACTAATCGAATCTTGGAAACCTGACAGAGATTCCCCCCTGGCCCCTATATGCAAGAGAATCAAGGAGAGGCAATCTTGAGTTTCTTTCTCATTTACTCCTCTCTTCCAGGGCTAATCTGGTATTTACGTAATGGCTGTTGAATTCCTTCTTCAAGGCCTTCTACTCTGCATCTTTTCCGCATTTTTAAAAAATATGTGTTATCTAATTTGGCAATTAACACTGGAGTAATATACCAATGGGAAAAAAATGTCATGCTAATTTTCTGAGTATAATATTCATAGCAAACATGGCGTTTAACTTGCACTGATATTCCCATTGTTGCACATCATTTATGCTGTTTAAATTCTGCATTCATTTAATTATGTAGTATTTGACTTGTTTTATTCCTGAATCATATTTTAGTAACAACTTATTTCATCCCTAGGCCTTCATCTGTTCTGTGTATTGATTTAATCTTTAAAAATAAAACAAATATAAAACTTTTGAAGAATTTCTCCTTGGAATAAGCAACAAGTCATTGGTTTTAGCATCTTCAAACATGCAGTATAGTTCAAAAGAAGCTAAAAAAAATAAGGTAACATTTTTAGAGATTTAAAATTTTAAATGCTTATATCACAAACCTCAATGCAAATTAAGGAATTAATTAAAAAAAATTCTCGCTCTATGAGTGGATGAA